ATTAGAAGAAATACCAGTCCCATATATTTTTGAAAAATTAACCTTGATTTTACTACTCACTGTCTGTGTGACCTTTGACAAATAAACTCTCTGAAGTTCAATTTCTTCATTTATAAAGTGAGAGTGATAATATTTATCTCATAGAATTGTTGAAAAAATTAATATGAAATAGTTACATAGTAACATTGGAAGACACAATATAAGGCCACTAGTATCCCTTCAATAAATAGCAACTATTATTTTTGTCATATTAGTGATAATAATTATTAAGATGATGAAAAGGACAGAAATATATGAGTCTCTATCTACCACACTGCCTTGAGCTCCTAATCTAAAAGTGATATAAAGTTAATCTGACAACAGTTATTTTAAGTGAACAAACATAGGCTTCAAGTAATGATTGTTTCCAATTTTTAGATTTGACCAAGCCATACTTTTAATAATTTATTCTGGATTTCTTTTTACCCAGAATTATTAGATTGAGTGGCAAATGATTTTTTAATAACAACTTCTTTCAGTTAAAAAAGTAGACTGTTATCTTCACTTTTGTATTCCTCATATTTTATGAGTCATCAAAATTATATAAACGTTAGCTATAACACTGCAAACAATTTCATTCGTAAGTACCTTTTGTACCTAGCCTTGTAATCCATCTTAAAAAAAAACTGAAACTCATTGAATAGCAATTTAGTCTCTTACAATCTTTTAATTAATGTAGGCTTCAGTTCACTGTGTTACAAGGGCTGGCAAGGAATGTCAATCTTCCCTAAATTTTCGTTAGTAGGAACAGAATATATAACGAAATTATATTTTTAGCAACAAAAATTACCAATGCACAAGAAATGACATTTTTAATCTAGAGGGTTTATAGGAAGTAAGTAGGCACTCAAGTACCAGAATAATAGGATTTAACACATATGTGTCACTTATTGAGTAACAGACCTATTGAGTATATTACCCAGGTTCCCTGAGAATACAAAAGTAGTTTCCTAGTAATGGACTCATGCATTCTATACATAGAAAATACTGTAGCTCCCATTCTAAGTTAACTACCTGACATCTTGGTCAAAAAATATGTCATGAGTCTAATAAATATGAAATAATTCCTTAGAGCTGGATCTTGATGGGCTATTGATAAAACTGAGCTTCTCATTTTTCTATTTTTGAAAGCTAGGTCCTGTTAGAAGTGAGCTTATCAAGGAACAACGTCATTAAAAAGGCCACTGTTAGCTCGCCAGACAAGCTAACCCAAAATATTATTGCAAATGCAAAAGAAAACAGTATGAATAAGAGCTAAATACTATGTAGAAATAAAAGAAAGAAGAGGCCCTTGCTTGCTGTTTCATGTTGTAAGAATCAGACAATGAGACTATAAGTGCTTATTGAAAACCTGGAATGTATGGAATGTATGGAAAATTAGTATAAGATATAAACCCTATACTTTAGGATCCTATAAGCTTCTTGGGGAAAAAGTATGGCACAAACAGAACAATAAATAGTATTAGTTGTTAAGAGGCATGTGCAATTTCGTGACAGAAAATAATAAAATTAAGGTGGGCCAGTCAGTAGAGAGTCTTAAGGCGGATTTGAAAGATTTTGAAAAATCTGAAAATAAATATATTTGAATGCAAATATCACGGTAAAGCTTTGGGTGAAAATATAAACCCAGGAAGAGGAAGTGCTGTCATGTGGTGGATAATATCAGCTGCTACTTGGCACTTGATAATTCTTATCCAAGCTTAAGACACTGAGACTTTGTAATTGAATTGAAACTGGGACATGCAATTTATAGGATGTTCTTAGAATACATGTAAATTCTAAAATGTACTCATGTAAAGGATGATGATTCAATAAGACCAAAAATTTAACATGACGTGTGTTTTTCCTTTACAACTGACAGGATTTTTGTGGCAATGTTGCCAAGAGGAGAAAACTGGTGTAAGCACTGACATTTAAGGCTTTGTCCAAGATGGAAGAAAGGCTTATACTGTTTCAGCAGCAACATTGTTTATTCATGGAATGTTGGAGAACCACATCAATCCACAGTTGCGATTTTTGACATTAGAAGCAAATCAAAAAAGAAAAAAGAAATGCATATGAGATGATTGATATCTAGTATAAATACATTGCATACATCAGCTTTAAATCTTTGTCTTGTTTTAAAAAGATAAAATGACGGTGTCATATAACGTCTGTATGAGTCAGATTATATTTCTGTTAGCTGTTTCAACAAATGAATTTCTGAATCGTAGTTAGTTGGTTAAGTGAAAGTTTATTTCAGGTTTGTGCAAAGTTCAAAATGTGGTATTCTTGAGGGGCAGGTAGCAATTCCTATAGTGGTGATTATATCAGTTTTAGAAACTTGAATTTTTTTTCCTTAAGATTTTTTTCACTTCATGTAACTTTAAAATTTTATGTGCAATAAAACAGTTACTTCCCAACTTGTTTTATAAGGCCAACATAGCTTTGATTACAAAACTTAACAATGACATTAAAAGATGTAAAATTGTGTCATTCTTTCAGAAGTATGGATACAAAAATCCTAACCAAAATAAAATGTGAGACCCAACGGTATGTAAAATGTATCTTATTTGCGATCAAGTTGGGGCTATTCTAGAAATACAAGATCAGTTTAACATTTAAATACAAATCAACGTAATTCACAATATTGATCAAATAAAGGTAGAAAAAGTATATGATTATCTCAGTAGATGCCAAAAAAAGCATTTGGCTAATTAAAAATCCATTTATTGTAAAAATTAGCAAACTAAAAACAAAAGAAAACTTCCTTAATCTGATAAAATGATAGCAAACATCCTATTTAATTGTGAAGTACCGAACACCTTTCCCTGAAATTAGGAAAAAGAGAAGGACTCCAGCTATCACCAACTCTATTCAACAGTGTACTAGAATTCTATGACTTAAGCTAGAAGTAATCAATAAATCAACTAATCAACCAAAACAAAATAAAAATATAAGCAATAGAAAAGTAATAATACTGTTCTTATTTGCAGGCGGAAGTGTATGTTTAAAACAAAAGAATACACAAATAGAAAAAAATGAAATTAATAGATGAATCAAGTTTTCTCAATTCAAGGTAAATATATAAAAGTCAATTGTATTTCTATATGTCAGCAATAAATATGACATGAAATGTAAATGATAAAGACATTTACAATAGGATTCAATAAGTCAAATATGTAAGACTGATTCTAGGAGAACATGTACAAGACTTCTATTCAGATACTTATAAAACACTACTGAGAGAAATTAAAGAAAATCTAAATAAAACGAGGAAGGTACCAAGTTCATGGACTGGAAACTCAATATTTTAAGAAGTCAGTTCTTCCCCAAAAGACCTATAGATTCAATACTATACCAACAAAAGTCTAGAAATTCTTTTTTGGAAATTAATCAGATGATGTTAAAATTTATAAGGAAATGTAACGGACTAAAAATAGCAAAGACAATTTTGACAAAGGAAAATAAATATGGGTTTACATACCAGACATCAAGTGTAAACAGAGAAACTCAAGGTGTTGCTCACCACCAAGTTCTACAAGGATTAAGTCACAACCCACTGTATTCACTGACCTACTGCACTGTGAGATGAAATTAAGAGGACAGCAGAATGAGTAAGGCCCTCTGTGCTCTGGACAAGTATGCTCCTTAAATAGATATACATCTCAGGAAGAATTTCAATGACCTTGGAATTTTGCATTTTGCATTATACAGAAAAGCACTAAAATCACTGACTTGGGATATCTGTGCTTTGTGACTAGCAGTAATCTTTTACCAAGATTTAATCTGATAATCATATTTAATTTGGTTTTTCCCCTACCTCTTTGGAGCCTTTTCCTCAGAGCTAACTGAATGGCTGTCCACCAGGCTACAGTAAGACTCTGAATAAAACTTAAATTCACAACTCTTATATTGCGTGTTTTTCTTTGAGTTGGCTTACATTCTATAACTTCAATAATCAAAGTAGTGTAATATGGCACAGTAATAGAAAAATAAATCAAAGAAACAATAAAAGAAGTTCAGAACGAGATCCACATTTGATTTATACTTGATTTATAAGAAAGGTGGCATTGAAGGGCGGTGGATAAAGATTGCATGTTTATGATTTCAATAAGATGTGCAGGGTCAATTAATAGTCATACGGGAAAAGATGCATCTTTTACTCCTACTTCATAATGCACACACAAATAAATGCAATGTGAATTGTTGACCTAAGTGCAGACAGTGAAGAAACATTAAAGGTTTTAGAAGAAAACATGGAAGTATATATTTATGAAAGGCAAAGATTTCTTAAATGAATTGCATACATATACTCACAAAATACTAACCTTAAAAGGAAATATTGACAATTTTTAAACTAAAATTAAGAAAATCTGTTTTTTAAAAATCACCAATAATTAGTTCCACTTCCAGCAATGGTAAAGGGTCTTATATCAAGCTCTCCTAGAGTTAATAATTATAAAGTTTGGAAAAAATATAAAAACCAGCCATATGAAGGCAGCAGAGAGTGACCAAAAACTGGTAAAAACTGTATTAGGGTCAGTTTATGAAAGGAAAGGACTATATTGCCTGAGATTTACAAACATACAGTTTCTTGCCAGAGGGCATCGGTCAGTCAGTCCAGGTGGCGAAGGGGTGCTAAAAAGTTAAGCAAAATGATGGCAATATTAATTATATTAAAATTGGTACCCTGTGAAAAGTCTTTTGTCAGAAATTTCTACCTAGTTACAGCTGGTTTCAGTTAAGGAAGTAGAAGCCAGAATGATGGAATTGACCAAACAGAGTTAGGATTATCCCGACTTACTACAAAGCTGTTTTTGGGGTGTAGCTTTAGGTGACAAATCCAAGACTTGGCAATTATTTTTTTTTCAAAATAGCCAAGTCAAGGAAGTTTGTCATTCCCTGGATGACTCCTATCTTGAAACAATAGAAATATGACAGTCATTAACATTAGTCAGACAAGTTTCATCTTATTTGTTCTCCATATTTCACCCAGCCCAAAAAACAAACCAACACTGCATGTAGCACATGAACCTATGAAACACTGATCATCTTAAAAGCTACACCAGAAGATCCTTATTATCATTATCACTGTCACCACTGTCATCATCATCATCACTACCATTGCCGGTGGCACCACAACTATCAGAATACTATGTCCAGGTAAATGGGATTTTAATTGGGAGATTAAGTCTATAAAAGCTAACAAGTATATGCTCTATATGCTATAGAGTATCCTCTAGTTTTTTGTTAATGGTTGCTTTTTATAATTTAGATTGTTATTTCTGGACCCATGCAATTATTTCTGAGGCCTAAAGGCCCTGTATTTAGTCTCTGGGAAATTTTCAGAAATTTGGGGGGAAAAACGAATTTTAGCAAAATTTTGCTTACTTTTTATATCCACCCATAAGAACTATTATTTTTGTTCTCTAGTACATAGATTTTGGAATAATGTACTTTACAACACAGATTCTAAATTAGCACCTGGCAAAATACAGGGGGCCTCAAAATTTAAAAGGTTTTCAAATGATTTTCTTCCTGTAGACTCTGCTTTTGTTTCTTTTTTTAAAAAATAGGATTGTTTACTACTGCTGAATTGTTTTTGTTTTCGTGTGTGTGTGTGTGTGTGTGTGTGTGTTTTGGGGAACTAATTATGCTTACGACTGAAAGAAATCCATAATAAAAGGGAAAAGCCTATCAGTGCTGCAGTCAACTATATGTATTTTTTAGAACTTCCAAGAACACCTAAAATGGGCTTTCAACGATAAACATTTTATAAGCTGAATATAGTGATTACTTGCATAGAAACCGTCTCAGCTACTTTATGTGCTATGTACATAATTTAGGCTACCTGTGTGAGTCTTTCAAACTTTCATGTCTCAGAAAGACTGAGCTACCAGACTACATTACAGCTGACTAATCCAAAACAAATTTCAGACTTTGCTATCACAGTGAATTTTTCTACTCATTAGAAGACACAGATTATTGGATATTAATAAGGTTATAAATATCATTATTAATTACCTTAACTGTGTACTCCTTTTAAACTGTGATTTATCTAGTATAAGAAATACCACGCCTAAATAGATGTTTTGCTCTGAGGGTGAGATTAAACAACTGAATTCTAGTATAAAAGCATATAAGGAAGAGTTAGGATTAAGAATAAAGAACAGAGAGGAAACAAAACTGGGTGAAGTTGTACAGGTGTGGCATAAGGTACTCATTTATTTTTAAAGGACCTTCTCTACCTAAAAATCAGTTAGTCCTAGAGAGATTAGAACAAAAAGGTTCTCCTGCTCACAGGGAATATCTGATTTGCTAAATGTACCCACTGATTACAAACTCTTCTGTTCTGCAAGTTTTGTTTAGGGTGATACAGAATACAAAGAGATTGAAGAAACAACTGAGGCTATTTTGAAACTTGGTATCAGATTTTGTTTTTTGTGTGTTACAGGTCTTCATCCAAATGGACAATTTCATGACATCATATCTTTCAAGCTATAAAGAATAAACAATGTCCAAACTTTATAAAATTAGACTAAGGGTGGCCATATGGCCTAACTGTAACCCTAGACCTCTCTATTTGTATGATGCCAAGTCACAATGTTTTCTGATTATTTTTCATCTAATTGATTGGTTTTGATGATGAATCTCACCTGTCTGTTAAATTATATTTTACAAATAATCTATATTTATTGTAGAAACATCAGAAAACATAGTTAAGAATAAAGTAAACAAAAATGACAAAAAGTCTGCCCATAATCTTATAATATGGGAAAGTTGCTTTTGACATCATGATGTTTCCCTACACAATTAAACATATAAATGATGTTATATATTTGCGTTTATAAATCTATATATGTCCACACATATGATGTGGCTTTAGTTTACAAAGATACAACCAGACCACATGTAATGTTTTATAACTTGCTTTAGATAAATAAAAAAGCAAACCAACTTCTCCTTGTCAACGTAAGAACACAAACCATGCTATTTTACTCGCTGTTGTAACACAGTACTCAAAGATGACTTGCTAAATGGAGTCTATCCTCAGTAATGTCCATCCTCACTGAGACAGTTAAGGCATCTGTGTTTTAAACTAACATAAAGACCTAATGCATAAGTTATAAACTGTGTTGTATGAGTTGGAGGAGAAACAGGTAGATTTAGAATATCTATCATCTGATTTGAGCCGTTTTCCTCCTTTCGTAGGTACAACATATTTTCCCAGAGAAGATCTTGGCCACTTTGGATGACAATCCTTATCTTCCTTGGAACGATGGCAATCTTGGGAATAACTATTGGTCTCCTTGTTCATTTTCTGGCAGTTGGTCAGTATTGACTACTCAATTTTCACCCTTACCACTAAATCTCTTTTAACTCTTAGAAATTGATAAGAAACAACACGAATATTAAATTTCCTTATGGAAACTTTGTCACTACTATTTTATTTTAACATAATAATTTTATATAATTTGACACCACAGTTTATAAATTTTTCTGAATTCTGTATTTCCTTGATCCTTTCTGTAAGTTGTATGACCAACTATGGGAGTATGGGCAAGACTGAAAAATTCAATACTTTGGTGCCAATATTTGTTGTCAGTAAAGGAGCTTATATAATAGGTTTGCAGTTAAGCTGTACATTTTTGGTAAATATACCTCAAGCTTTGGAGATCCCTACTCTTCTTGGCTCGTTTCTAATATTGATTATTAAAGATATAATTGATAAGTAAGAATGGATAATTCACTAATGGTTCTTCTAATAGTGGATAGTCAAGAATGGTTAAATGGCTGAATGTTCATACTAACTTGATCTTATGTTTAATATCTTTTATTAAACCTACATTCAGAAAGTTTGGTTTTCCAGTTTATTTTTACTTTTCAGAAAAATTAATTCTAAAATTTGTGTAACTGTTTAAGGTTTTTAAACAAATTTGTTACCTACTCTTCCACTTGATCCTCACAATAATCCTTTGAACTTGAGAGAGCAGGTTTTACTACTATCCCTAGTCTCACACGCAGGAAACTGAGGTTCAGGCAAATCAAGTGATTTGCTTGATATCACAGGATTTAAATCACATAGCTGAACACAAACCCACATTTTAATACTTAAAGTGTATTATTCTACTTTATCATGATTTTTGTTTTATTCCTCTGAAATATATCACCCTATACAATAATGTCATATGGATACATTTTGCTTGATTCAGAGACAATTCAAGTTTTCTTTCAACCTAGCTTCTCCTTTGTTTCTCCATAATCATCTTAATTTCAAATTTCAAAACTTGTCCTTCATGAGTGTAGTAGACACTCAGACTCTTGCTTGGCATGTCTATCCATGAACTCTCCATAGTCTGAATCCTTCTAGCCTCTTCTTGTCTCTGCTCATTAAAAAATAACATTCTTCACATCATTTCCTTAAGGATAGTACTGAGTTTTCCGTATCAAGCCCCGGTGAAGAAGTTCTGTCAATATGTTAGTGGGGACCAGTAGCCTAATTAGTTAACCTTCCAAAATATAGTTTGCATTTTAATAGATCCCTTTTTCTGGAGAAACAATGACATAGTGGAAAGGAGTAATGCAAAAGAGAGAACTACAGGCATCCTGGCTTGAGTAGGAGGTGTGTGGAATGATAAGCCACCCCTGAATTTCTCTACATGTTCAACCATCTGTCATTTCAGATATAAGACTAGACAAGCTTGTATTACCTAAAGTTAAATTAGTTGAACCAGGCTTCTTGTGAAGTAAAAATGGACATTCAAACTTGCAAAGGTTGTTTGAAATCATTTTGAAAGATGAACCCGTTTGCTCTAGGATTTTGGCTTAGGAGCTAATACAATCTTTGTTAATACAGTAACTTGAGTTGGATGACAGCTAGAGGAATATCTCATTCAAGTGGTAGTAAACTAATTGCCCTAACTGAGTACATCTATTGAAATTTAATTTTGAGATAAAGATACAGAGGGGCTTGAAGCCATTTCCTGTTTTAAAATTTTCTGAATATTTCTTTATTTCACAGGAAAGATTTACTATTACCAAGGTAATTTTCATATTTCTGGAGTCACATATAATGACAGTTGTGAAAAAGCAGTTTCAGAAGCCAGCACAAATCTGAGCAAAGATATTGAGACTAAAGTAAGTAAGAGATCTTTTTTATTAACTTTATTATAAATTTGATTGAAATATATATCATGGCTTTTTTTGGTTTTTTCTCTTGACAGATATCTACCGCATTTCAGAATTCTAGGGTATACAAAGAATATATCAACTCTCAGGTCATGAAACTTCTGTAAGTATAAATTCATTCAAGATTATATGGAACAAGAAGTAGGTAATATGTCACATTAGTCCTGGTTTTAAGTAACAACAGTGATGAAAAACAGAAAGAGAGAGGGAGAGAGAGAAAGAGAGAAGGAGAGAAGGAAGAGAGGGAGGGAGGGAAGGAAGAAGGAAGGAAGGGAAGGAAAGGAAGGGAAGGGAAAAAAGGAAGGAAGGAAGGAAGGAAGGAAGGAAGGAAGGACGGACTCCCCATAAATTAAAATATCACTGTATCTAACAAATTTCTGTTCAGGGTAGGAAGTGTTCTGTACAAATCTGTAATCTCTGTACTTGAAGGGGAATTGTAAGGTTGTTGGTGGCAGTCAGTTCTAACTGACTTCTATGATAAAAGATAATTTAAAAGACAATTGTAACTCTACAGAAAATAAAGATTGTCTTGCTATTCATCTACTAGCCACCTCTTTTCCCATTCATACTCATCTGGCCATATCTTTCTTAAAATAATCCTCTTTCGGTCTCTTTAATAATCACCATCACTGTAATGACTGTGGAGAAAAGTGAATCTTTACGGTAACATTTGTCTAAATATGTATTGTAAGTGTGCTTGACAGTGGTAATGGTGGTGGTGAGAGATGCGGGGAGGCAGGTATCACAGAGCATAGGGGATAAGTGATTAAGGGAGAGAGCATTTGTAATTTAGCAACTGTCAGTATCTATTCTGGAGAAGTCTGAATTCCTTAAAACTAAAAAAAAAATCCAGCTAGACAACCAACCAACCTACTTACCTCCAGACAGACAAAAACCTTTGAAGGCCCTTCAATTGATCATAATTATTTGAAAATAGAGCTGTGGTTTCTTAAAAATTGTGATTAATATAGCTTTTGCTTTGACAGTCTTCCAAAATGAATTAATTGTCTCTCCTGATCAATAAAAATAATGTACTGAATATACAGATAACGGAGATATTCTTCATGCTTAGAATTATCTTTCTGAGCCTTCTCATTGTATAGATCCATTGGGGTGGACACGTGTAAGAAACTACGGGAAGAAGCTTAGTTCTGGCTCTTGAATATATGCTAGAATTTATCTTTTGAATGCTTCCCAGCCCTGCATTTAAGTTCTTATTTATCTCTTCCTCTAAAATTAAGAAAACATCTGTACAAAACACTATTTTTTTTTACTGTATTATAATGAAATTTCAAGCCAATTATCTGTTGGCCAGTAGTCAGTTTCTCATACATGTTTGAAATATTCTGATTTCTAACGTTCACATCCTCTTTCATGAACAATACCTCTAAACCAATTAGAAGATTTTTAAGGATCCTTGAACTTTATATATACTGGGACAATATCTGTGTATTGTTTTTTAATATATGTAAAGGCAATATAATAATTACAATGTGGGAAATTCAGTATGTTCATAAGACATCTAAAAAATCAGGAAGTAGCACATGAGAACATTTCTGTTTTGTCCAGTCCTAACCCCAGTGGTTCCAGTGTACAGTTACAGCTGACATTCAAATTTCCTCCAGCAAAGAAGAATAGCATGAAGCCTGAAATAGAAGCCATCTTACATCAGATATTGAAAGACAACATGGCATCCTGGAATGCAGTTCCCACCTCCCTTAAATTTATAGGTATTTTAACTATTTTAATTATTTTCTACTACTTAAGTATCTAGACTATTAAAAAAAAAAGCACCAGAAAAAATGAACAAGAGTTTCAAGAATTTACTTAGGAAAAAATAGTCTTTCCAAACTCTGGCACTCCTACCATTGAGTTGGTAGTGGAAAGGGTAGTGCTATGGAATCTTTGTCTGAACAGTGATAGGAAGGAGTGTTGAACCACAGATATGCTTGTGAGTTTGGGAGGGTTGGGTATTATGGATGGAAAAGGGGGTGAAAGGTAGTAATTGAAGCATTATTCTCCCTACCTTCTACTTTTGTCAGGATCTCATTATAGGAAACAGACTTAAGTGTTTTCTTGATCATTGAGCTGAAGATTGTAGGAGTAAGTGTGAAATTGAGGACAGAGAGCTCTTATTGATTCTTGTAGAAGAATGGAAGTAATCCTACTAAAGAAAAACTTGTCTGAAATAATTCCCCAGAAAACAAGAGAAGAAAATGACAGAATTTTGTCTCAGTGCAGAAAGTAACGTTTGTAAGCATCTTGAAGGTCCTGCATTTGTCCTGAAACTCTAACTTGGATTGTTAAAAGGTCTGTTTAGGTGGTCTAAGCTTGTGGTTCCAGAGCCCAGTTTTGTGGTTCTTCCAGACTGACAATTGATTCTAGTGTCCTTGAAAGCTATAATGGCTGCCAGCTGCCAGTCACAGGTACTTTGCCTCAGAACACAGACCCTGTCACCAATGGGCCACTCATGACAAGTGAGTCTGAGGCAGAGCTTCTGAAAGAAGCAATACAATTCCTTTGTGAGTAGTTGTTGGGAAAGAAGACTGCACCAGTTACTGCCCCTCTGTATCCCCGGGATTTAGGAGTTAGCACTTTCTGATGTGTCCTTTTTTAGTTCTCTCTTCTCTTTCTCTCTGAAGTCTCTTCCCAGTGGAAAAGAGACTTGAATTTAAGTTAAATTCTCAAAATTTCATAAGTCAGTCTTAGTAATGAGATGACTTGCAAAGAGTAGGATAGGCCCATGTAATTTTAGTTGGATTTTTTTCCTTTAAAATATAGATAACTCTGAGTATTTCAGAGTAATGAGAATTATCTAAGGGAAAGAAATCCAAAGATTATGCCCCGTGCCTCTTTTAGTAAGAGTGTCAGCTTCTTACTTCACTAAATATTTTACTTCAACTATCATAAAACTGAGAGCTTTGCTTTTTTATTTCCTTTTCCTGTACTACCTGGTAGAGATGTGGAGAGATGGCCAGAATATAACAAGTAAGAGTGAGAGGGGCTGATAAGCAATACACGAACTAGCCTGAATAGTTAAATGTTGGCTGTAGCTAGGTTAGGAAATCTAGTCCTTGGGTTGAAGAGAACTGCATGGTGATATTTTATCAACTTTATTTTTTTTAATTTCAGAAATCAGCGAGGCTCATGCTGAAATGCTTACAAACAACTGTAAGTTTAGAAACTTTATTATAAATTTAATACACTCACAAACAGTTTTCTATCATTCTTCTAAAAAGTATCTAGAAGCACCTCAGGTGGAAATCTATAGTAGTTTTTCAAAATTATTGGATATACTAGATATTTATTGGGAATTCCTTTTTAAAAAACACTGACCATTTGTAAGTGGTTGTCCAAAAGGGTGAAATGACAACTGTTTGCAAAGAATGGAATCATGAAAAATATCATGTTTGAATTAGTTAATATATAAAAAAAAGTGAAGGAAAAAGGACAACTTAGGATAATAAGAAAATGCAAAACTAGGCTATAGAAAAATACGTCTATTATAAGGTAAAAAACAGTTCTGTACCTTTTAAACAAATTCTCTTTAAAGTATCATGGGGCCCACAACATGGTACATCCATGCATTCATTCAATCAGTGGATATTTCTGGAATATCTATTATCCACATGGGGCTTTACAGACAGCACTGTGCATGCTATGCAACATACAGACATTAATGAAGCAAAGTTTCTACCTTCAAGAACTTTGCAATCTATTTGGGGAGAGTAAAATTGTAAGACAGATACAACATAAGTCAGTAGGTGAAAGACGTTTAAGACTGAAAAAGAGGAAAAGTAAACATCACCCAAACGAAGATGGAGTGGACTACCATGATATGAATACATTACAGGAAAGAAACAGCATTGTTAGGAGGTGCTGGACAATCACTGAAGGGTTTCAAGTAATGTTTTAAAAATACTTCTTATAAAGCATAATCACAGATACCTGCTCTTGTATAAATAAATCTTTTCTTTAGGTTGTGGGAGACAACTGTCCAACAGTATTACATCTGGCAATCGAATTGTGAATGGGAAAAAAGCCGCGGGTGGGGCCTGGCCGTGGCAGGCAAGCATGCAATGGAAGGGCCAGCACTACTGTGGTGCCTCTCTGATCAGCAGCAGGTGGCTCCTATCTGCAGCTCACTGCTTTGCTAAGTAAGTTTGAAAGTTTCACTAAATGTAGGATTCTAGGTGCAGGCCTATTTGGGATAGTCTGTGGGGGTTAACTTGAATGTGTGAAGTTTGCCAAGCCATATGAAATTTACAAACACTTGTATAATTGAAGGGCAGCAAAGAAATTTAAATTTGGAAGGGGGGAAAAGTAAATGGAAGCAAATTAACATTTTCTAAAAAGCTGCTTTGGCCCGATGTTAAGTAAGCTTTACTTACATCATTTTATTTAATCATAATAGTAATTCCATATGGAAGGTATAATTTAACCTATTTAAAGATGAGGAAATCTAGGGTTCAGAAATGGTGATGTAACTTGACCAAGATCATACAGCTCTTAAATAACAGAAATTGAATGTGAATGCAGGTATGTCTGACTCCAGTTACAAGGTGCTTATTTGTCTTGTCCTCTGGGGGTTACAATCTATTTTAAGAAATTTAAATGTGATGTATTAAAAGTAGAAGGCGGCATGGTGTATGTACAACACAGGTACTAAGTTTGATGGAAACCTGATGACAAGAGAGAACATATCTAGCTGAGGTATGCAGTTGTAAGATTTGATCCAGACTCTAAAGATGAAAGACTTGATTGATAGGGTGAGTAGATGAGAAAGGATAATAAGCATTTTGAGTTGGGAAAATAGCCTTCTTCAAATGTGTTGACATGAAACAACACAAGTTGTATTCTGTGGACAGCAAGCAAAGAGAATAATTTGAATCTTAGAGGATTTGTAAAAGGAAACATTAGAAAATATGCTTAGAAAATGTAGTTATATCTGGGATCGGGAATACTTCTAAATGACAAGATGCTAACTTACTGGAAAAACACAGCTATTGAGTATGTGGAGTCACTGAACATTTTAAAATGGGAGAAAGATTGAACAGTGTCACAGTTATAGGAAGGTCTTGAAACCCTTAAAAAAAAACACCAAAAAACCGGCCAATACGTGACATTTGAGGAAGGTAAAAATGGTTAGATAAGATATTAGGTCCTAACTGAGAAAGAATCTCAGGGGAACTGGAGAAACTGGTCAGAAAATCTAAATTAGAAGCCAAGAGGCATTGACTTGGTAAATATAATGTGACTGTGTTAAAATAATTTGCAATTTTAAAATTTATGGACGTGCCTGGAGACTGCCACAGGTTCTAAGAGTGCAGGGTGTATGGTAGGAAAGAACAGTGATTCTGGATCCCTTCCATTGGGGCTGCTCATGTGAGCCCTACCTAACTCAAATGCTCAGAAACTGGACGGGGCTGAAGCAGCAGAAAACATCAGTGACTCTGGTCAGGAGGATTTGTAGAAAGCTAACAGCTCTAATAGTCCTTAGCACTATTTTTATGTGACTGCAGCATTTATAACATCCCCACATCAAAGACAATTTTTAAAAATAAGAATTTAAGTGCTTTATAAGTATTGTTTAGGAAACTCGTATCTTAAAATTATAAGATAATAACCTCTGTGAACACCCCAAACTGAGTGAATTTTAATTGAATTGTGTCCTCCAGGAAAAATAATTCAGAAGACTGGACTGTCAACTTTGGAACTGTAGTAAATAAACCATATATGACAAGGAAAGTCCAAAATATTATTCTTCATGAAAATTATAGCAAGGCTGGGGTTCACGATGATATTGCCCTTGTGCAGCTTGCTGAAGAAGTCTCTTCTACGAAATACGTTCGTACGATTTGTCTTCCTGAAGCCAAAATGAAGCTCTCAGAAAATGACAGCGTTGTAGTTACAGGATGGGGAACACTTTATATGAATGGTGAGTTTTTCTGTAAATATGTAATATCTTTACAGGAATAATATTTAATCAATCCGTCAATCACTTTCTCACACAATTAACCAATCAGTAAATATACTGAAAAGAAAACAAAGTGATGGGACCAAAAGCATGGTATTGTTTTCAATTTCTGAAATATCTCTGAGAATGAGAATTGGAAAAATTGGAATAATGTATGAGGCAGCCAGATAATAAACATCAGAAAGAAACCAGTCTAGTCAGGGACTGGCTGGCTCTTGGTGACCAAAGAATCGGCTTTATTCCACAGAAGCTCTTTGTATCAACAAACAAGGTTAAGATCTCTATAATGTGCAGAATTTATTGCCTTTAGGTCCTCTTCCAGTAATACTTCGGCAGGCCTTTCTGAAGATTATTGATAACAAAGTTTGCAATGCTCCACATGCGTTATCTGGCTTGGTGACTGATACAATGCTGTGTGCTGGATTTATGTCAGGAGAAGCTGATGCCTGTCAGGTACCTCAAGAAATATTATCAAATCATTTTTTCCCAAAGTACTAATTCAGTGGTAGTTTTTATCACCACACAAAAATATTTTTGTCTTAAGGATTTTCACAGAGTAACTTCTTATTTCAATCCAGAAAGCAAATATTTATTACTCTCATTAATGTACCAGATACCAGCGTAGATGCTGAGGATGCAGTGGTGAACACCATGCCTGCCCTCATGAAGTTTTCAGTCTAGGAATCCATACTTACAAGGTGATAAAATAAGTTTGGCTCTATTTTCTGGGCACCCTGCCGACAAGAATGCTGTCTTTTCCTTATGGAGAGATGCAGCAGGACGTTTAGCACGTGCACGTGACATCCGTTCTTCAGAGGCTTCCTCATGGAGCAGCTGAGGCACTTTCTCCACAGTTAAGGCTGGACTCATTAACAAAATCAAATCCCAGTCTTTCCAATCCAATATTTAGCTGTTGTAGGCAATGTATTCTGGTTGGTAGTTGCCCTGGGTTTTGAAGAAACCCAAGAGTTCCACAGTTCTAAGCCCAAAGAGGGTGGATGTTTGCAACGCCCAGGGCATTGCAACTCCAGAGGAGAGGTAAAAGGAAATTCTTCGACAAGACAAGAAACATTTTTCCCCCTTTTCTTCTAGAATGATTCTGGTGGACCACTAGCTTACCCCAACTCTAGGAATATATGGCACCTTGTTGGAATAGTAAGCTGGGGTGAAGGATGTGGTAAAAAGAATAAACCAGGTGTCTACACTCGGGTGACTGCTTATCGTGACTGGATTACCTCCAAGACTGGACTCTGAAAGAAATGTAACCTTGGAATGGAACATAAAGACAACTACAGGATATTCTTATCTATTGTTTCAAAATCTTTTTTGATTGTTGGTATACTAATCATTTTCTTATATAAAAATGCATAAATATCTTGATTAATGTTTTATCTAAAGCACTATCCATTTATTTATTGATCTATTTAACTAATTTAGGAAACAGGAAGAAAAAAAGAAAGGATGACCGTAATATTTTTATTAATAGCCTAGTTCTGATGTATCTTACCATTATATTCAGAATAGACCTTTATTTTTTAGAATTAAAGAAATACATATTTTGTTAGTATGAGAACATATGCCAGATTTACCAAATAAATTATTTTTCATTCTATATATTATAAATGCATTTTGTTAAACCAAAATACATAAGACAAATAATGTATATTCACTTATTTCAATGTGAGATAGTTTGTGTACCTTGTAAAATCATATGATCTTGGAATGGAGAGGAATGTCAGAGGTTCAGCTAGACCAAGTGTCTCAATATAGAGATCGAGAAACTAAGAAGAAAAATTATTTCCTTAAAGTCATTCTTCAGTCTCTCTGACAAGTTGCAACCCTCATGTGAATTTTCCCTCGTAGAATTCAAATCCAAAATTAGTCAGGAATTTTAAAATGATTTTTAAGTTGCAATTATTTTATAATATTTCTTCATGTCCTTCTTTTGTCATTTGTTTGTATTCCTTTGCAGCAAGAATAAAGAGGTCCTTGAGGGCAGAGGACTGTATGGCATCTATAGCTCTCCTCACAGTGCATATGCAGTGGTGTGGAGGACAGACTCTGTAATCTCTGCAAATAATTCACCTTTTGTAATTTCCTACAATTAAAAAGTAGCTTAAAAATTTAAAACCAGCTAAAATAAACCTAAAAATTCTCTTTCTTCAATTGTTTGTGATATTACTCTTCTTTTTTTATTATAAATTATGACTTATGATGTACATAATGATGTGAAGCCAATCCATAACTAAGTGCGACAAGGTGGTGTTTTTTCCTCCCCTCTCCTTTCTCAGGCAGGTCACACGTATGTATTGAACACTCAGTGCGTTCCAGGAACTGTCAGGTATGGACACAGTATCATCTTCCAAGGATGCTGCATTTAGTGGATAAAGACAGGCACAGTAAGCACACACATAAGACAATTTTGGTTTGTGGTGTTAGGAAGGGGAAGAAGGTAATATGATAGAAAAAATGGGGAGGTTGAGAAGTACTTGAGATCTGGTAGTATGAACAACTTTTTCAAAAGAGTAGCATTTGAGCTGGACCTAAACAATGAGGAGGCAAAACATAAAACATCTGAGAGAAGTCCGAAGAGAACAAGTGTAAAAGCCTCAAAAGAGAAATGAGCAAGGTGGTTGTGTCGCAGAAAAAGGCCCAGTGTGTCTGCCAGTGTGTCTGAAGCCTGGTGGGTGAGAGATGGGTAGGAAAGAATTTGGAAGAGGCAGTTGAGGGCCAACTCAAATAAGGATTTGTAATGACTTAGGATTTTATTTTAACTGCAGTGGGAGACTCTTGAGTTTTCTGAGCAGAGGAGCAAGTGAGATGATCTAATACATACTCTGAGAAGACTGCTTTAGCTTTGATGACGAGGGTGGGCTGGAGTTGGCGGTGAAGGCTACACACTGAGAAGCAGGAAGACTAGGTAGAAGGCTGGTGCAATTTTCCTGGAAAGAAATTGTTTAAGTTTGCATTTTTATTTAGTCTTAGGTATAGGCTTAATGGTCCAAAACCCACTGGTAACTCTATTCCATTGACACATAGCACAGGGAACTATATTCAATATCTTGTAGTAACCTCTAATGAAAAAGAATATGAAAAAGAGTATGTGTATATATGTATGACTGAAACATTATGCTGTACAACAGAAACTGACACAACATTGCAGACTGATTATACTTCAATTAAAAATATATAATATGGTTCTATTAAAAAAAACTAGTAACTCTATTCTACTGACTGAAACTTTTCTTGCATATCCCACAAATATCTTCATGTTCGTCTTACTGAGTCACTATGTTCTTCTTATTGAGCTACTACTACACACTATGGTCAACCATGCCATATACACCTACTGCTTTGCCCCTTTCACCATTTACCACCTAGCGGGGCAAAACCACAAACTTGCTAACAACCCACTCTCCAACTTTCTAGTGCATGGATCTTAGTTACTGACTGTAGCTAGAGAAAAATAAACAACATGCTGACTAGTCTCACTTTAAAATTATGATCACAAACATCAAATATGTTCTTAGTACTTCCTGAAAATCCTTCTATACTTTCCTTGTCAAAACTGGCTCTCATTCTCCTAAATTATTCATTCACATCTTCTCTCCTCTCCTTGATGCCAACAGTTTCTTTTCACACTCAACTGATAATTTTGCTCATTATTTCACCAAGAAAACAGAAGGAATCAGGTGAGAGTTTCTGTTAGTGCTTACTATAAAAATTTGTTAAACTACTTCCTTCTTGAAAGGTAGTATCGGTAAGTGAACTCAAGTTAAACTACTTGTGTTCAAATCCTAGCTTTGTCACTTACTAGGTGTGTGATCTTGGGCAAATTATTTGACATCACTGTGTCTGTTTCCTTGATGTAACATGGGGACAAGAATAATATCTACTTCATGGTGTTGTTACGGAGTTTTGAAGGAGTTAACAAATGTACAATGCACTTAAAGCACATAGCAAATGCAAGATTGGTGTTAGCCACTATTGTCACCTGTCTTTCCTTTTGTCACAGTGGATCAACTATTGAATCAACACCACTCTAAGGCCAAACTCCCCACTTATGAAAAGACCCTTTTCTCAAGGACTTTGTTCCTATTGCTGTCACCTATCCCTCCTATGTCATAATCTTACCCTTTCTACTGGATCATTTTCATAGACACAGTAATTACACAGTATTTCTCAGGTAAGAACAAAGTTTTTTTTTCAATCCTACATCTTCCTGCCACATTTCTCTGCAAACATGGTTGAAAGTATTGTCTCCATTTATTTTCCTTCTGATTTCTCTTAAACTCACTCCAGTCAGGATGTTGTTTCAGAAATTCCTCCAAAACCACATTTGTCAAGGTCACCAATAAGCTCTGTGTTGCCAACTCCAATGCTAAATTCTCAATCCTCTTCTTAAGTAAGAATATCAATAACATTAAAAGCATTTAGTACTGTTGATCATTCTCTATTAAAACTCTTTGCTTGGCTTCCACAAAAAAGCCACTTTTTTGGTCATCTTTCTATGTTAACAGCTATTTCTATTCAGTCTCTTTTGCTGGCTATTCTACATCTTCCTAAAATCTAAATGTTGGAGTTTCCCAGGACTCAATCCACAGATCTCTACTCTTTTCTACTTACACTCATGCCCTAATGGTTTTCTCCAGCCCAATACTCTCAATACCAACTATCTGCTGACAACTCCCAAGCATTTTAACTTTAGCTCTGACTTCTCCCTGCACCTTCAGTGGCAAACATCTAAAATTTCCAATTGAGGATCTACTATGCAATTTATATTAGTATGTCAAAACAGAATTTTCACCTTTCCTCAGTCTTTCACATAACCCCCAAATGGCCCTGGAATCATCCTGGGGAATATATATTTAAAATATCATCCTTTGTTATTTTAATTACCGTATTTTGTATAGGATTTACGACTGGACTAGGAAAGCTCTATCATACTTACCTTTGGAAATGCCTGGATATTTGGCTTTGAATCTTGGATGAAATAAGGTCAGTGGGATTTATGTGAAGTTTAAAGCCTGAAACTTTCCTGTCAACCCCTGAGCCAGTTTGATTACTGGTCCTAATTACCTCTCCTCAAAATTAAAAAACAACAAAAAAAGAAATCTTCACTAGATTATGCAATTTGAGCACAATTTCTATTCCAAGACATTACAAACTAGCTTTCTGGCCATTGTGCCAGATGTTTTGTTAAATACCTTAAGTACTGTCTGCTAGTGACAGAGGTAAAGTAGGTTTGTTACTGGTTTTCACTTTTCATGATTTCAATACAAGAGGAGGTTTCAGAAGAAGCTATTTTTGTAATATTTAATAGTGGTGTGTCAAGCACGTTTCAGATTTGCAGTTTATAGTAGTTAATTAAAGGATTCCAGAAAAGACAATTATATGTTATTATAATATGTTGTTTTCCCTACAATTATTATGCTTAATTATGAAAATAAAATAATTGCATCATGCTTTCCTATGTTGTTTCCTCAATAAATTTAATTCTCTTCACTTGGAGTTTTGTCACAGTTTACACTCATGATTGAATAAACCAAACTTTATTTTAATTAAATATGAGTATATATCACAAAAGAATTCCATTGGTTCTATCTTTGGTTTCATAGGTTTATGCTCTTTAAGTCAGATCTATCTCATTTAATAAAAAAAAATTTTTCAACAAGGCAGAAATCCCTAGCCAGGGTAATGAGAAATTGTCCCCCTATTTTCCTTCCCAACCATTTGATGAAAGACAAGGAATTAAAGGGCATCAAACTGAGCCATGATCAGAGCAGGTACAAGGTCTTAGTAATCAGGGAGTCTAGGAGCACCTCTCTCTTCTGCTTAAAATCCTACTCCACCCCTCTTCGTCTCAATAACCTTACAGAATAAAACCTAAACTCTTTATTATGATTTGCAAATCCATAAAAAGCTTGACTCACTCTTCCAACTCATTTGTCAAGACAATGCTCAGGTGTTACCTCTTACCAGGAAGCCTTTCCTGACATCCCCAGACTAGTGTTCCAGATAGCCCCAGGCATTCACCTATTACTGCATTTTCTACAACATGTAAATATTATCTGTTTTGGCATCTGAATGTCCTACTAGACTGAACTTTTCACGGGCTCTTTTCTGTCGCTGTGTTCCTGGACCAGTGGCTGGTTCAATGGAGGTAATAATCCTGTCCAACTGAGTAAAACTGAAGTCACTATTAAGATCTGGCTGCTCCATGCATCGCTGTTTTTCTCTCCCATCGTTTCCTCGCATTTAACCTGTGCTCCAATCACACTATTATCTGAAACATGCTATCTGGAGCCTTTCAAATGGTGTACTCCTTGTCTAGAATGTCCTTCTCTGATATATATATTTTTTTCTGGTAAACTCCTACCATCTTTTAAAAATTAACCCACAACTTTATGAAACTTAATCCACTGTGTCCTCATGGATTTTGTGCTTACTGTCATCAAGCCATCATCTCATCCTGGAAAGTTCTACAAAGCCAATAGTTTATTTTTAGCCAGTATTAATTTGACCCTAACTCCCTGAGAACCTGTATTTTATTGCCAATTCCTCCTTTTTCCCTCTACTCAGATCTGTATCAAAGATAAATTTTTATTTCATTTCAACAAGTATATTTAAAATGTTTAATTATATTATCAATGGATTAATACATTATCCTTGTGAAAATAATAAACCTATTATAGATCAGGCTAAAATTTCTTTAGTCATCATTTTCAATTCTGGTCTCTTTTCTTCTCCTTGAGGGTAAGCATTGTTTTGGATTTTTTTTTTTACAATTCCTTTTTATTTGGGGGGGGTAGGTTTTTTTTTTAATGGAGGTACTGGAAATTGAAGCAGGCACTCTACTATGTATCTCTTCATAAATAAATATACGGATTTATGTGCATATATTAGCACTCATTAAAATGTAAAGTATTATTTACTCTTTTAATTATTAATGATGTCATATTGAATTATTATTCTGCATCTCTAATTCTTCTTACAGTTTTTCTATATGCATCCACTACTGTATCAGTCAGAGTTCAGAGTAGAAAAGGCGTTTTTAAGAAGAAAGAAATTTGAAGTAGGAAATCAGCATACTTCAAAAATTGTCAGAGTGCTGGTTGTGCAGGCCCTGGGCTGAGCTTCAAGGATGATCCACAAAACACTAGAGAACCAACACCCAGGGGAAGAGACTGCACCTGGCAATGCTGAAGTCAATCCAGGGACCAGTAAGACACCAGCACCAGTGATATTACTACCACAGCCTCCTGACACCCATGAACTGCTCTGGTCTCTGTCTACTCTAAAACTGTTTCTTAGCCCCCGGAAGCTGGAGAATGGAAACTGGAATGTTGTTGTAGAACAGAATACCCTCCTGACCTATTACCAGCATAAATCCCAAAGCAGCCTCATTTCTGCCTTAAACGACATTCTTCCCTTCAAGTTTCATATGAGTGCATCCAGCTGGCAGAATCTATTTTGCATTCAGAATCCTAAAGGCATGGCCATCTTGGAGATGTCATTTTTAGCTTTCTAATCCCTACAGCATAGAAGGGGACCTGAGAATGAATGATTAGTGGGGCCAACTCATCTTATCTATTATTACCTCATTCCTTTCAACAGCTGAATAATATTCCACTATACCAGTATAACATACCTTAACTGTTCCTCTGCTAATTAACATTTTGTTTCCATTTTGTTTTTGTTATTGAAAACATTATAATAAACATCCTTATATATTTCTGTTTCAGTACATGTGCCAGGATGAATATCTACATATATATTTAGAAGTGAAATTGCTTATAGGAGATAGTTTTAAAATTAAATAGTTGATGCCAAGCTGCCCTCTAAAGTTGCTGACTCAATTATGATTCCTACTGCCAACATATGAGAGTCTATTTCCCCACACACTTACCAAATAATGAAATATTATCTTTAACTTTTAATTTTAGTAGTGTTATATTATTTTAATGTATGTTTTAATAATTATTGATGGATGATATTAAGCGTCTTTTTATATATTAATTTCCATCTCTGTTTCTTCTGCGAATACTCTATTAAAATCCTACCTACATTTCATAATGCGTTTTTAATATATTTTACTGACTTTTGGGAGGTCTATGTGTATTTGGATGGTAATCATTTTATCGAAGCGTATAACTTATTTGCTGAATATCTACTGGATACTAAAACTCTGATGGTCATTATGAAAAACAATGAAAAAGAAGGTATAGTTTGTGCCTTCGGGTTCAACCAGCTTACACTTTCACTGATGTGACAGGACCATCCACAGAACAGTTTTAAGTAGAAATCAATATAATATAGCAGATTATTAAATCCAAAATGAGTACTGATGACAGTAAATACTAGAGGCCAGAAAAAAAAAAGATCAAAGAGGATAATGCTTTACAAAGAAGGCTTTATGAAGGAAGTGGCAATTAGGTTGGACCATGAAGAATGAATAAACATTGGATGGTAGAAATGGCAGTCCTGGGAGAATTAAACGACATGAATAAAAAGTTGGAGTTAGGAAAGCACTTGCCATCCAAGGAACAGAACTGTCAGAAATGACTCAAGTAAATTCAAGCTTTAGGTAGTCATTGTTAGGGTAACACAAGTCCTGGGCATTGTGCCAAGCACTTAGCATACATGGTCTCAGCTGAGACATACCTTACATATACAATCTTGCTAGACGCCATTTTTACCTGTGAGAAAGTTGAAGCTCAGAGAGGTTTGTGTCAAACAGCTAGTACTAGTGGGCCTGGCATTGGGGTAGAGGTCATGCCCTTTCTGTTACACCATGTTACACCATGCTATTATGGGGCAATAAAGAAAGAAGGAAATGGCATTCTAAAAAGCCTTGAATATCAACCAGAGAAGTTTGTATTTTATCCTGAAAGCAATTGAGAGTTTTGATGATTTTTTGAATGAAGAAATGTCATGAGTATGTGTTTTAGGAAGATGTATCTTGCCAATTAATGTCATCATCAGTTCTGTATTCAGAAGCCTCCTCCTCAGAGAGACCTCTCCTGACCCTCTTAAAGAGAGGCCCCCCACTTTCTACCCAATTATTCTGCTTTATTTCTTCATAGCATGTATAAGTATCTCATATTAAATGAAATATTTACTATGTTTTGAGTGTTTGTCTGTCTTTTCCATTAGTGTGTCAGCTCCATAAAGGCAGGAATTTTATTATATCCATTGTTGTATTTCCACTACTAGGAACAATGGATAGTTGCAGGAAGTACATGGCAAATATTTATTAAATGAGTGAGTGGAGAAATTGGATGGTTAAAGATATGAAATATGATGCCAAGACTATAGATATTTGTATCCAAAATATCTAAATGATGTCCTGTTTTTTTCGTTTTTGTAAGAATTTGGTGTGCCATCCAAAAACAAAATGCATACTCACTTAGTAAAACAACTCGACTGGATCAATTAGTTCCATTTCCTTTAAAGAATCACCAAAATAGAACCGATATTTCTTATACCATAACCTACCTCCAGTAAATCCATTTCTACAAAAGTATGCAGAGTCCCAGGGAGAATGTTTAGATTAAGCATGTTTCAAATGAGTAATGCTATGGCAGAATTATTGTATTAAAAAAACAATGTATATTGAAGTCATTTGTCCGAGACTGCTCTGGTGGGTACAGCTGGTTTCACTGGGGAGGAGCTCTGTGAAAGGGGTGGATGGAATCTGAGTCAGAACACTGGTTCACCAATTCGTGGTGGTATTTCTTGGGTGGACCTGCCAGGCAACCAATCCAGCTTATGTCTAGTGTCTTTTTTTAAGTATTCATTCAAAGAGAATTTTCATGTCTTCCTTTAAGCCACAGATCCACAGCTGTCATCAACACTTGTTAAACAAGTTTCCTTTTAATTGCTTTCTGCTATTGCACCCAGCCCTTAAAATCCCAAGTATCACTGTGGTTAGTACATTTACCTGAGAACCACTGATCAGGACAAAAGAAGTACAGAAGTTTCCTTTATCATTATTAACATCAACAGCCATTATATCAGCACATTATGTATAGGTAAGTGGAGATTTGCTTGCCTCAATTTCTGACCTAAATAGAATTAGCACTGTTTCCCCACTATGATTCCCATTCAAAGGTTGTAGTAAAACAATTGAGTTTGGGGGGAACTTGCAGTTTTCTCACGGCATTTTGGATTTCAGCCTTATCACATACATGCATTTGTATCTGGGATCTATAGTTTCATTAAATGATTTGAGGAGTGCTTCAGAAAGGTAACATGCAGCTTTACATCCTATGAATGAAAAGTAATATGCATGTGTGGCTGTCTCAAAGTAGAGAGAAAGAAGCAGAGAGAGAATTTTCTTCTCTCATAAAGCAAATGTTATATTGTTATTGGTGGTGATGATTCTTATGACTCCCTTGTTTTTGTTTAACATTGTGTTCTTTCAAAAGTGCTTTCAAGAAAATTGTCTTGAATCTCATAGTACCATTGTTTCATAGTTGTTCTCTGTAGAACAATATATAAAACCATAAATTTTTATCTGTAAAATGTTCATGACCTAGAATAGTATAACTATGTACAGATGTGCTATTCATTTTTAAGTATCTAACTAGATAGTTACTATGTTACATAAATAAAGCTCATTAATACCAACCTTTTAAAAACATGATTTTGGCTCCTAAGGAGTTTTCTTCACAATGTATGCAATATATTAGCAAAATAAACTAAACCTAATTTAAAATATTTAATGTCCCAATAATTGAAATATAAATTCATACCTTAGGCAAATATTCCTCTAAAAATGTACATCTTGACTCAACAGTTGGACCCTCAAGACATATTCATATATTTTTTCATAATATCCACATCCATATAAAAATGTTAGAAAGAGTATGCTCACTGTGATAAAACATACTAAGAACATTTTTTCTTGAACCAAAGTAAACATTGTGTGACTTCTTTTTTAGTAAATATGTTATATTATTTGTAACCCTGATAACCTTATTAGTGACACATCTGGTCTATCAGTAAAGGAAAGAGTAATCGCATACATTTAAAAGTGGACAGAAAACAGATTGTTTTGTTTTGTTTTGCATGTAAGATGGTCATCACCTTATGATGGGTGGGTAATTTTTTTTATTTATAGGGCACCTCCTCCTTCTGCTTCATCATTTTGACACTTATGTGAAGCCCTAACCTGAAAGATTTTCAAGAATTAATCCATTGTTTCTAAGCACTCCTAGTCACCCAGGGAAGGTTCATGCCTAATTCAGTGGGTAGCTTCTCAGGGAGGCATTAATCTGATTGCCCAGGAGAGCCTGGCGGGATCTGGACACATGGTCGATTCTGCAGGTGCATTTGAAGAGATTTTGTTAATCTTGTGGTTGCATATGGGTGTCTGATGTACAGACACCAGGTAGGAAAGAAGCAATAAAAGTGGAAGTAAAGACTTCAAAACTATATTTTATCAATTTCCTTTTTTGTAGGGTAGTCCTATAAGATGGTATGGGAAAAATCTCAGAAAAAAAGCTGTGTTTTAAATCCTTGCCAAGGTAGTATTTAGAGTTCATGGCTAGCAGAGATCGACATTGCTCTGATCCAATATAGCACTTCATATTTGTGTGTGTTCTTTATATATAAGGATGTAATAAATAATATAGGATCATGACCATAATTTTTAAAATTATGATAAGCGTAGACATCGAGAACTTCTAAGACAATTCTATTCTCCTCCCCTCCTCTCCAGCCCCAACTGGCAAGGTCTTTACTTGATACTAAATCTGTCACTAACCACTGATCGTGGGAGGGACTTAGGTTCTAAGTATAGATAACCTGGGACCAACCATCATATTTCTGAATAATAATTCCATAGCACAGATCCAGAGAGGTTTAATCATAAGCTTTGAGATAAGCTCATTGGCTGGTCTGCCCTCCTTCCTTCCTTCCTTCCTTTCTTCCTTCCTTCTTTCTTTTTCTGTCTTCAAATGTCTTTTGCTACTACTGTGACTAAATTGTGAAGCCTCTAGGGGTGAGTAAGAGGAAAGAAAGAAAGATTTGGAATGACTGTGATTTTTCTAACATATCTTTCTTACTCACATCCTTTACTTGCAGACCAGTCACAGCTTCGCGTACATCTTTGCCGCTATGGATGATTGCCCTCATTGTGTTTGGAGTGTTGGCAATCCTGGGAACTACCATAGGTCTCCTGGTTCATTTTCTGGCAGTAGGTTTGTAAAGAATACATTTTTAAAAAAATATAGTTTGTTGTAATCTTCATTTCTATTTCTACAAGACAAAGAAACGACTGCAAACAATGAATAATCTCCTTTTGGAATGTCCACTAATGACCCAAGATCCCAGAAATTAGCATTGTTAACATTTGCCAAACATTGTATTATATTACAGACATGTTTCTGAATATACACAGGTGAAAAAAGAATGTATGTCATATAGAGATGTGAATGCACAGACAGACAGGGAGAAAAAGTAATCCACTGAGATGGAGTGTATGTGTTATTTTATAATTAAAATACCACACTCATTGTATGTGATGAAGAGAAACCAAAGAATATGGAATTTTAACTATTTGTTTCTTCAAAACAGACATTAATATTAAAAAGTCTTCTCAACATAGATTTTAAAAAAAGACTTTGAAAAACTTGAGGAAAGCTGCAATCATTTTTAGAAAATCATGTGTTTTAACTTTAAACATTATCTTATTTGTAGCCTCCTATGAAAGGTAAGAAAATAGGCACACTTATACTTCTCATTTTTCTCCCACAATTCCCAGTAGTTTGTTACCAATATTATTTTTACATTGTCAACAGTTATAACATTCCATTTTGATTTGTAATCATAATCATAATTACTAGCTGTTTAGTTTTGAATGAAAATATATGTACACATATATTCAAATGGGGAGTATGCTCACCATTAATCACTTTGTCATGCTTGGACTTTTTTTTTCCACCAAAGCTACATGTACTCATAATTTAAACAGTCAGATCATCAAAGCTTTGTATGAGAAATGCAGCTTCTCCTCCACTACCTTTGTTTCCCATTTCTCAGAGGCAACCACTTTCACTCTGTAAGTTGATTCTTAACATTGCCAGACCTTAAATTTTCAGTTATTGGTATTATGTATTCACTTTCTGCTATGGATTTCGTACTCATTCTCACCCTGACCACATAGCTGTTGATTTGGGATTTCCCTTTAGCAACATCCTGGGTATTACTTTTCAACTGTCTGTTGGGTTTGGTCCCCTAATGCCTAGATTCCATATTTCATTTTTAATTATTTTATTCGCTCAGTTGTGGTGGACTGTATGCTCCAGAAGCTTTCAGGGAAGTTCACACTTTCAACAATTCACATGTCTGAAAATGTCTCAGCTACTCTTAACCTCAACTAATAGCACAGAATTCTAGGCTGAAAAAACTTTTCCCTCTGAATTTTGAAACTAAAGCTCTACTTGTCTTGCTTTCATAATGTCTGTCAAGAAGTCTAAAGACATTTTGATTCTAGAGCTTTTGAATGAAATCTCTTCTCCTACTCCCCCACCTTCTGAAACCTTATTGAATTTTTTTCTTTGTCCCAGTATTTTGCAATTTCATAGTTAAGGTGCTATAATGTAGATATTATTTTTAATCATTGTGCTAACATTTAGTGGGTCCTTTTAATCTAGAAATTCATGTACTTTAGTGCCTGAAAATTTTCTTAGATTATTTCTTTGACAATTTTCTACCCTCTTCACTCTCTTTCTGGAGCTCCTGTAATATGGGCATTAGGCCTCCTAAATGTAGTCTCTAATTTTCTTATCTTTTTCTCTCTATTTTCCATCCCTTATTATTTTTAAAAATCACTTTCTTGGTCATTTTCTGAAGTTTATTTTCCAATCTTTCTACTGAATTCTTCATTTCTGCAGTGATATATTCAATAGCTAAGATATTCTTTTTATTATCTAGATATTCCTTTATATAACATGTTAATATTATTTCTTACAAAATCTTCTCTGAATATAGTAATTCATTTTAATTTTTAGTCTCTTTTTTTCCAAGATTTTCCCTGCTTATTTTGGAAGTATTTCATATTAGATACTTTTCTCAAACATATGTTGATCTTTTAGCTTAGTGTCTGCTAATGTTTAAGAATGAGGATTAAAGAGCTGCCTGGAAGTTCTCTATAAAAGAAATGCATGTTAACAAATGGCTTTAACCATAGGCTGTTCTATCTAGGTTGTTTTGTTAAGAGAAGCCAATTTACCAATATACTTGGGTATTTTCTGTTGAATTGGTCAGAATTCCTAGATGGAATGCATGAGTATATTCTGGACTACTAGCTTTCTGTAGTCAAGTTGAGGGAAAAATTCAGCACATTGATTTTTAGTATGGTGCACCTGTTTTCAACTGTGTCTCAACTTCCCTAATCTAAAAACTTGAGAAGTTGGGGAAAAAAAACATTGGGATCTAGATGTTTCAACCAATCTTCTTGGTTTTAATCACATTTCCACTCCTATGTCCAAAAGTGTCAGTGCCTTTTAGGGTTCTTTTAATTAAGCCTTTCACACTTGTTTTTTTACCTTTTTCTGGGCATAGAGGAAGGAGAATTTAGAAGTGCTTTTGCTCTACTGGTTTTAAATATAAGTGCTCCCATAAGTCATGCTTAAATCCTTTTATTGCACCCAGATACCTAGTATAAAAAAAAATCCCCAAACTCAAAACTATGAAAAATGTATGTGTGTAAATTGTAGGTTTTCTTTACAGGAATAAGTTGTAAGTAATCAAATGATGAAAAAGTTGCAAAACAATTCTTTCTGCCCCTTTATTATCTTTCTCAATTCATATTTGCATTTGGACTACTTATGGAGATGGGAATGTTCATCATAAGGTGTAAGAATGCCTTATAGAGTTTTCATCCATAAGGGGTCACTTTCATCTCATCAGGTACCAACAGAGTACCATAGATGTATTCACAGTGACCTCAGCATGGTGAGCAATCCCAGTGGTGTTATTAGGCTTGTTGCATAGAATTAAATTGAGAATAGGAGACTCAAGAATGCATTTCCTTATTCTAGGATATGGTTTCTTAGTCTTAAATGTCTTAGACATTAAATGTTCAGTTTATCCACTAGCTCAGGGAAAGTTCTTAATGCAGTTGTAATAAAAACTTTGTATCTTGCCAATTAATTAATTTATACTGAGGAATATTGATGGCTGCTTAATTATTTTAATAGGTAGAAATATTTAGAAATCTAAATAAAAACTGAAGTATGCATTGTGAATACTAAATTATGAAAAATAGAGTTGAACAGTTTTAAAGTCTATTTTTGCTATTTATGGTAAACCCTTATATACCACCATCGCAAAGCCTCATCTCTATGGTAGTGATCCATGAACCACAGACAAGCTAACTACAATTAACAATGTTCATTCCAAATTATTATTTATAAACAACACATTTTCAGCATTTTGTTTAAAAGTTTCTGACTTCTTTTTCCATCACCTTTCTGTAAAATATTTCACATTTATAATGATAAACCATATTTTATTTTAATTATGGTGCCTCCCTTCTCTGCACTCATATAGAACTTCTAGTTGAACAATTAACTTTGTCATTTAATTATATCCTTATTAGTATCTCACATAATGATTTTATCCATATGGAGCCCATCTCTTCCACAAGATGGTCTTCAAAGGCAATGCTCATATTACAAAATAATGTTAACAATTATTTACTGCTTATTACATGCTAGGTGCTATTACACAGTGTTTCTAGCATACTCCTAGATGCTTAATATCTACCACAAATTAGGAGTAAGATGTATCATATGTCAAAACAGCTTAGTATCTATGAAAATTTAGGAACAAAATGTAATGAATTAGAATTGGGCTTCAGAGTCAGTCAGAGCAAGTTTTTATCCCTGGCTCTTTTTAGTAGGTGAATTACTGAATATCTTTGAGACCACATTTCTCCTGAAAAATGGGTATACTTTACATGGTTTTTACAAAGTAACTTCATACAGGATATGTAAGAAATGGTAACTGTTTTTTATTTATAGTTTGACATTTGGTTATTCTAGACAAAAATATCACTTACAGTCTATTCTATGTGTCTCAATCAAGATGTTACTCTTCTTTTTGACCTTTGTCTGATACATATTTGCTCCATTATTGGTCTTATGCTTTCCACAATGCTTGGTTTACCTAATCAACTGCGCCAGAAAAATTCACAGGGTTTAGCAATATCTAATATTAGCACAATATTTACTAGCTGGTATTACTATGTAATCTATGTCTGGATTTGAAATCTACTTCATTTAAATAATTATTGGATCACTTCTTTATCACACAGAAAACACGACCTACTATTACAAAGGCAGCTTCACAGTGCTGGATATCCCATATAATAGCAATTATGAAAGGGAGACATCACCAGAAAATAACTATCTTAGCAAAATTCTTGAGACTAAGGTAAATTAGAACTTTCTTATATTTATCTCATTGTTAATTCTCAGAAACAGAAATGTATTACTGGAATTTGATGTTTGACTTTGTGTTCTCTTTAACAGATGGTTGATGCATTTCAAAGTTCTAGCATTTACAGACAATACATCAATTCTCAAGTCATCACACTAGTGTAAGTAACAATAACAGAAAAGATATCAACCTATCAAACATAATATTGTATTTCAAGTACCACTGTAAAAAGCGTCTATTGGTATGTTATAGTCATTAGTCAGTAAGTTAATAATAAACAGCATTATCCTAAGCTAAATGTCAGGATAATTATTCAGTAAAAAATTGAAGCAAAGTTTGAGCTATTTTGTTGAATTCATTAGCTCTACTGAGAATGGGTTATTCCTTAAATTATGACTCATTTCTATAGTTTTTAAAGTTTTCACGTCCAGCAAACACTAGATAGTCCCTTAGACCAATGTTTAATGGTCTAACATTTTTATTTAACTGTAGCATAAGCATATATCCTGTTTTTTCATGTCCTCTTACTTGCAAGTCAGCTAAACACCTTGGCAAACTGCCCTAGAGTTCTTTTAGGGTAGAAAAGAGCATATCTACATGAGGCTTTGATGCCAGGGAAATCATTCTAGTGACCATACAAGAACTGAAATAGCTATGCTGTGGTCTTTGCACGTGTGTTTGCAGTAGCACGGACTTGCTGAGGGAGCCCTAGAATAGCAGTTAGAGAACCCAAGCCCAGTCTTTGCCACTTAGTAGTCCTAGATTTTTGGGTGAATCAGCATAACGTTTTGAGCCTGCTTTCCTGTCTGTGAAATAGTGATAACAACACCTATGCCACCTCCCTCATAAAACTGTACTCAAGATCAAAGAGGACAATGTATATGCAACTATTTGCAAATAAACATATTTCTAATGAAGGCAATTATTGCTTTTACCTTCATCAATGCCACCAAACCATGTCTGCCCTTCTTCTCCTGCTCCTGGAACTCAGAGGGACTCCTGGAATTGCAGAATGGATTAAGATCTCAGCTAGAATTAACCTGCAGAGTGGTGATTTTAGTACTGGAAAGAAACACGAGGCTAAAATTAAAGGGCCCAGCTCTCTCTCAAAGATGACAACAACCACCCGAAGGCTTCTGCTTTGTTTTTCCGTGCATGTAACTTCAGGTATCCATAGGAAGTGTGCACCCACTGGAAGTGATGGAGAGGCTGCAGGACAGAGGTTTTCATTTCGGCACACCTTGTTATGCAAATCAAACTTGTATGAGCTGAGTGCTACCTAGAAATATTTATTTATATGCTAAAAGGTAATCATCCATTAGAAAGATCCAAAGCGTAATAATGCCACTTCAGACACTAGCCTCAGAGCTGCTTGACAATTCCTACATGTCCATTAGCCAGCCTCTTGGGCTACATACTCATATTCCAAAACCAACCAAATCTGCCCTGAACACTACAAGTCAGGTTAATCTTCCTTAAGTTTGGTTTTATTCAACAATTCCTTTTTACTGCTACTCATTGGGTAGCATTAAAATCCACATCCATCTGAACCCAATCTCCTAGACACTGTTACACTGGCTGACAAGACTTGGAGGGACAGAGGGCGTAGTGTAAAGAGTCTGGATTAGGGAGTCAATTGTACTGAATCTGAATCCTAATTTAATAGCTGCGTAACCTTGAGCACATTAGGTAGCCTCTCAGAGCCTCAATTTCTTCTTTCCTATAAAATGAAGGCAATGACGCCTGTGCTGCTGGGCTGCTGTTGAAACTAAGCGTGATAATAAATGTGGTAACATAGTACCTGGAACACAGCAGATACCCAATAAATGTTAATTAATATTATTGCTATCAGTTATTCTAGAGCACTAGTGTGTATGTCACCTCTTCCATGAAAATTTCTCTGATCCTTTAAGTAAAATACAATTTGTCTATCCTCTATTTGCAGATAAGATCAGTATCTTATTGCTTCTGCCTCATTTATTATAGTCATTTGTATACATGCTTTATCTCTCCTATAGATCTGGAAATTTCTTGAGAGTAGAAGCCATGCTACAGTCACTTCTGCATCACTCAGTAGCATCTAGCCCAGTCACTTGTCTGGGCTGACGGTGCCCAGATGAATGATTGATGAATACATGAATAAATGACCCCACTTCTTATGTGATACTTCTACCCTGTGCCTCAGGCTTTTCCTGGTTTTTTAGATGTGTAAAACTACTTGTTCCCTAAACTGAATAGCTGTATACAAACTGTCACCAAGTAAACATAGGCAGATGGATGGTCCTGGGATTAACCTAAAGTGAAGGTACTGCACAAACTCACAAAGGAGCAGAAAAAGATAAAGATATAAAAGTTCAGGGAATAAAGAGGAAAATGCTATTTTTTACCCATGTTTTCAGTCCTGATCACAACAGCGTGACAGCAAATATATGGCTGATATTCAAGGCTCCCAGATCAATGAAGGAAAACACAAGAAGAAGAATTGAAAGCATCTTACGTCAAATGCTGAGGAACCACTCAGGATCCTTGACTACAGATCCTGATTCTCTTAGACTCGAGGGTAAGCTCATGTATTAGTTGGAAGTAGTACTACTTTCATCTTTTTATTCCTAACATATAGCACAAGCACCAGGCACAAAACTTATCCTTAATTTTTTTTAATGAATAAGTCATTGTTTTACATCAGAGCAATAATTTGCATCCTTACCATTTAAACACATTGAAATCATTATAGTGCCATACCTTAAGATTCTGGGGGAAAGTTCTGGGAGAAAAAAATCTGCTGCTCATTCTAAAGAAAATAATAAGTCTTTGAAAAATCTTTATGAGTAATGATGTATTCTTGTATTCTTTCATAATCTCCCATAACTTTCAAAAACAGGATATGATCTGCCATTATTAGACAGGTCACTTTTTAAAAGTTATTTTTGTGTATTACCAGGAATCAGGTTCACCTGGGGTCTTCCTGGTCTTCAAAGGAAAGATTCTAGGAACTTTCCCCTCTTTAGAAGACATACAATACAATTCAAATTAAATAAAAAGAACTCTCTAACATGGAACCATGAAGATGGTATTTCCACATCACACATTCATATGTAGTAAAAGAGCAATTCGAATAAACCAATATTCTCTCCTTTCTATCAACATCTTATCCTGAGATTCAAAATTATTTCTAGACCCTCCTGCTTTGGTGGACCTACCATCTTATTTCATTAGCCCCAGGGTCAGTGGACTAATGCCAGGCATTAAATTTACTATGGGCTTTTTCTTCTATTTCAGAAATCAGTAAGGTCAATGCTGAAAAGATTATCAACAATCGTAAGTTCAGATATTTTTAATTAAAATGTGTGAGATGATTTAAAACACAGCAGTCAAAGTTTCTCACTCTTAGCCAAGCACAGTTCAAATTGCTTTACATGTAACTCATTTAATCCTCACAACAATCCTAGAAATAGGTATTATTATGATCCCATTTTAGAGATGGGAAACCTGAAGGACAAAGAAGTAAAATAATTTCCCCAAATTCATGTAGCTTGTAAATTTATGCAGTTTGTAAATTCATGTAGCTTGTAAATGATAGGCCAAACCAGGGAGTCTAGTCTGGTTGCAGAGCCCACAGACTTAACTGGGACATTATCTGCCTTGCATAGCTTTCACATTCTTCAAGTGCTGGAGTGTCCTGGAGATACTAGGCTGGGTATGAAGGTGATCCAGGGGCTGCTGGGGACTCTTGTGCAGATTACATTCTGTTCCTTTCAGTAACAGTGTCAGACTGAACCACACAAGAATAACTCAGCTTACTCTTGGCTTTGTAATCAAAC